CTCGCTGGTGGGGTGGGGTGAGGAGCAGAAAAGGCCTTGACTCTGTGTAAGCACTGCTCAGCAATAACGAAAACATCCCTGAGTTATCAACACTTTTCAGCAGAAATCCAAAACGCAGCCTCATACTAACTACTATAAAGAAAATTAACTCTATCCCAGCCAAAACCAGCACAAGCCCAAACATTTCTGTTAAAACACACAGGGTTTGCTGTCTTCCTGTAGCCTTTCACTGATCTGCCCAAAAGGGGAAATTGCCTGATAGCATCTCTACACAGCTGAAATCATAACAGCTGCAACCACCACGGGCGAGACTTTTGCAGAGAATTGTAGTTTAAGTTGATGGCTCCAATTTCACAAACACTTTTCCATTAGTAAGAGAACCCAGGACCTCTGATTTACTAAAGATTTGTCCCTCGAGAGAGAGCTCCCAGGGAGATTTCCCGACATCTGACAACCGGTGACAACAGCTTCACAGCCTGATTTCCTGAAGGTACAAGACATAAGGACAGAAAAGACTTCATTTGTTTATTGCCTCTCATTTGCTGCCACTATAATTTACCCATCTTAAAAAAAAAAGAAAAAGAAAAAAAAGGGGGGCACATCTTTACTTCCTTGCGGTTAACTATGTCTCTTCTGCAGTCAACTGTAAAACCGATAACCACAAAAAAATATACAAAATCTTTGTAATCTCAACATCAAATTAACAAGGAAAAAAAACCCAAAACACTAACACTGCCTCTTCTCAGAAACCTCACCTACAACACAGTTAAAGCCACATCTGTGTTTCTATATTTACAATGGGCTGCAAGACCTGTCTCACCCCTTGACAAGCCTTTGCCAGTACAGTGTTGGCATATGAGGACCACATAACATAAAGTTAATCAACTGCCTTTCAATTATGAGGATGGAAATTATCTTCATAATATTAGTTGAATGTAGTCAAAACCCAAATGGAAACGGATACTAAGGCACATCTCCGAGGAATGCTCAGAGCCATCAGAGATTTCTCTTTGCACAAGCTATGCTAATCATGAAAACCACAAATGGCACCCTGAGCTGCGGTAGGACTAATATAGAAAAGCCTCCTCATGCGATTTAACAATAAGCGTATAAACCAGTCATTATTAATCATGTCACTGGAAAAACAAGCTGCACAGGCTAAGTTAATTTACCAGCAGCAACCAAAGGACAGCCAGACCATGACTTGCTGGCCAAACACAGACCACAGCCATCTTCAGTGCCTGTGTGGACACTGTGCCCGGCCTGCAAAGGTCACGGGGGAGGGGGGGGGGTACAATGGCTCTGAGGGGCCTGAGGAGATCGTTGAGGTACATCTCCATGGAAGATTAAGGCCGTGGCAAACAGCAGATGACAATAAGGCGCATCCTTTGAGCAAGTCATCCGTGCAGAATCAGGTTTGGCACAGTGTAAGAGTACTAGTATAAAAGCACATGCAAGCCCAAGAATGACTCCACAGCACCTTAAATAAATTTACATTAGGTCTATAGCGGACCCCACCCTACCTCCCAGCTGCATAGCTCTCCCACCTTCTCCTGCATCAGGGTTAGCATTCATACAACCCAGCCGCAAGGATCTTTCAACTATCCAGGTCACCGACCCACCCAAGCATTAACCACCTTCTTTGGTTTGTGTGTGAACCACCTACTATTGTTAGTTTTTGAGCCAATGCACAGTTTATCATCTGACTACAAAGCACCACTACCGGTGCAAGTCAGAGAGACAAGGGAGGGCGGCACAGCAGCACCAACAGTGGGAGACGACCCATCAAGTGCCTACAAAGCCTGCCTATCTACAGAGGGGCACCTCAAAGTTACTCAAGTCAGCACCCTCACCTAAAGAATGGCCCTGCTCTCCTCGTACTTCCCACCTTCGTGCAATGAACTCCATGAAAGATCTGATCAGTGTTCAAGCTTGAATGTTTTTATTTCTTAATTTCTGGCTTCAGCCCTCCTTCCCCCAAATCTGGTTTCCAACATAGTTTCACAAGCACCACGAGGCCAAGAACAAGTGTTTCTCCTGGCAGCGGCACTAGTGATTATATGTGCCGATAAAACTACGGCCCAGGCCAGCCCAACAAAGACTAAGCAGTTGAACCACTCGGAAACAGTCACAAAGAGCCCACCAAGAGGGACAAGGAAATTCTGTAACAAACTGTCAGATCTTCCTATTTTCAAAATCTTTTCAGCACAGCGACCAAGCTGAGCACCGCTCAACTTACAGGCGACATGCTCTGACGATGCAGAAGCGTGGCTTTTAGCCCCGTTTACCATCTGAATTTTTTTGCCATCATTGTCCCGCCGTAGGTCATAGATCAGTTCAGTTTGGCCCTTCCCAAGCTACACATTTTGCCTCTTAAATACTTCCTATAAAACCTGTCCGCTGAAGCAGGAAAGAAAGTGAAAGTCTCCTAATGACAATGACTTAAAACTGAAAGGTGAACAACTGGTTTAATGTTAATAGCAAACACTCACAGCAACATAAAAACCCCACGAAGGGTAGAGAGTAGGGTGAAAGAAGGCTACCAAGTCTCGGGGATGCTTCAAACTAGTACTACGGTCCCCTGGTAACTATGTAATACTGATTTTAATCTACTGGAAAATGTGCTCGCGCTAATAGCGAAAGACAACAAATCACATGTTTATATGGAAATTAAAACATATTATTGTTCATCTCAGTTCTGTTCAGGCAGCCTGTATTTCTCCAAACAGCACGTCAATCTGCATGTTACATGCTGCAAGCGTGCGAATGAGAAGCACAGACAAGGAGGAGGCACCTGACCTGAAAGCCTTCGTTCTTGCAAATACAGACTCACCCAGAAGGAGAGCCCTAAATAACACTATTATTCTTAAATCTAAGAAAACAAGCAAAGCAGATCAGGCCGTAACTGTACCCTCTCATTCTAAATTCGTAATTTTGCTTCTTTAAAACTACTAATTCTAAACCATTTTGAACATTGCTGTTACCAAGATATGCTTTCACTCATTTTTAAAATCCATTAGAGTTTGTAAGAAGTTACACAGAAGAACACAGTTCATTTCAGAACAGTTACTCCTCATTACGAGGTATGTATACATGTACACATATATTCTAAGAAAGGCTCCCAGCCAGTGCTGGCCAACCAAAGCACGGGACAGAAATGTTTCATACCTCTGGAGCTCAGGTTGG